CCCCCCCCCCCCCCCACCGCCGCCCGCGCAACCCGAGTCCAGGCGCACAGACTGAGGTAGCATCCATTCTCTGGCCCCAGCCAAGGTCATTTATCACTCATGGGGGGAGGCAAGGAGGCGGGGGAAGATGAGTTGGGAATTGGAGTTTGAAGGAACCCTGTTCCACCTTACAACCCCCATCCCGTTAATATCTGAGGAGGGTAGTAGAGACTTGGTTAAGGTAGAGAAAAACACCCCTCCTCCCTATATATACGTAAATATATGAGATATATATATATATATATATATATACACACACACACACACACACACATACAGACAATGTTTTTTTTCTCTCCTTCTCTGATCAGCACAGCAACCACAATAAACGTCCATTCAAACCACCACCAATTCCCTCAGCCTTAAAGAGGGACGGTCACCCTTCCCACAAGCAAAGCATCGGAGGATAAAATGGCTGCAAGGCAAGGCGAGGATGCTTCTGCCCGGGGCGGGGTGGAGCCGAGAGACTGAGAGAGGGGTCTTACCTGGGCTGGGTCCCCCGGATAAGGGAGTCCGGGTGAGGGCGGGGGTCCCGGCCGTGGGGCTGGCGGCAGCGGCGACTGCTCCGGGTACCAGGGGAAGCGGCAGCGCAGACCTGCCCCCCAGCAGGCTCCGGCCCCGCCTCCGCCCTCCCCCTCCACCCCCCAGTGCCACTGAGCATCGGGAGAGACCATTGTTGGGGGGGGGGGCGGTGGAAGAAGAAAAGAGGATGGGGAGGGACTCGGGGCTCAGCGGAGAAGTGTTGACGGGGCTAGCGGGGCTGTCACAGGGACAGCTGGAGATGACACACAGCCCCTTCTAGTTAAAGACTAAAGGATCTAAGGAAAGTAAAACTGGTATCAGGGAGGCAAGTGGGAAGACAAAAAAGGAGATGGTGAACGAGGAAGCCCCTTCTTCAGCGGCCCAATCCCAGAATGGCAGGACCGACGAATTTCAGGGGCTCTCTCTTCCTTCAGATCGCCTCCCTTCCCCTTCCTCACGGTTCCAAGCCAAACTCCTTTGCACAATCCTCTCCTAAATCCGGAGTGCTCACACTTAAAGTTTACCTGGCTGTTTTAGAGGAAGCAGGAATAACAAGGTGTGGTTTCTATCCCAAACTGCCAGAGGCAGAAACTCCTGGATCCCTGCCATCTCCTTCCAGAAAGTCCAGATTATTTATTTCCAATGCAGACCTCCCTGTCCTCCATTCTGCTGGCGACAGCAGAGTTTGGAGAAGCTGAAGTGGTTTAACAGGCCTGACCAAGTGGGCATCTCCCTTTCCATTTATTTGCTCCAATGACTCAAAAAAGAACTCCCTCAGTACTCTTCCCCACTTTCTTACTACACACACACACTTCACACTTCTGCTTCCAGGGCAAGAAGGAGTGAATTGGTTTCAATTCTTTCCTTTATCTTTCCTTTGCCCCTGTACCAGTAACCTGGGCTTAGAGATCCAAGTCATACCACTTGGTGAAATCTTTGCTCCAGAGTGCGGGAGCAGGGTGCTTTGGGGATGTTCATACTGAATGTGTCTACCTATTCTAGGTAAGGTCTTGGGTTATCTACACAGAACACTGACCAGGGGCTCTGACTTGGGTTCTCACTTCCAATAAGCTATGGGCTCTTGGTCCAGTTCTCTGCCTCTCTGAACCTCAGTTTTCTCATCTGGAAAATGAGGGTCTTGGACTAGATGCTGTATCGGATCCCTTTTATATTTAATAGTATGTGATTCTGTTCTCCTAAACATGGAGGTTTCAAAATGCTGGGATATGTTACATGGAGAGGGCTGGCAGGCTGTGTCCCAAGCAACCTGACAGATGGCATTTGTGGTGTTGAGTTTACCACTGACAAGGATGTGGGCCTTTGGAGTTTCGCATACTCCAAAGCTACATCTTGGAAATACTGTTTTTTGCCAACAAACTTTATAATTTACTAAAATATAAAACCATAATACATAAGCATAATTTACAGTGAGAAATTTAACTGTCACTCAGACTGAAGGAAAACTCATGTCTGCATGTCCAGCACATTTTCTCCCTTAAACCAAATCAGAATAATAATGTCAACATATAAATGCACAATGACATAACTGAACAGGAATAGTTGTATCTTTAATGGCATCTGGCCATCCCCAGCAAGGAGTCGTGCCAATGGGTTCAGAAAACTCTTCTTTGGCTACGGTTCTCCACCCCTATCTCTTAAGCTATGGGCAGCCTTGCCAATGCTCCTGGACTACTCTAACTCTGCTAGTTAAGGCACTCTTTCCAGGATGGCTCTTGGAAAGGCTGTGCCCACGTGGGCCTCATGGACTCTCCCTTTACTGGCTAGCATTCACTGCTGACCTCTCTTCAGGTTGACATATTCCTTATTGAAATACGTTAATATTTTCAATTACATTATAGCCAAGTCCTGCTGGCAGGGAGCCATCTCTTCTCTTTAAGGTTACTTTGCATACTCTCTACTTACCCATTACTAAAATAGAAATCTTGTACTCTTAGAGAGAAAGGTTGTATATATTTTTCAAGTTCTGAGGAAAGACCATCATTTTTCCCTAGAACCAAGGACCCATGCACCTCACCAGCTACTCCTTCACAGGCCCCTTTTCTGGGTCCATTAACATTAGAGTTCCTTAGGGGCTCAGTCCCGGGCCCGTCTCTGCATCCACCTACTCTCTCTTCTCCTTGATCACTTCAGGTAGACCCAGGACCTTAATGCTGCCTATATGCTATTAATTCCCACATTTCTATCTCCAGTCCAGACCTTTCCACCAAACTCAGAATCACCATCTGTCAATTCAACATCATCACATGGGTATCTAAAAACCATCTCAAACCTAACAGACCATAAACAAACTTCTGAACGAGTTCCTCATCTTTTTACCAAGGTGTTCAGGCCAAAAACCTTACAGTCATCCTTGTTTCCTTTCTTTCTCTTATCCCTACATCAGCAAGTCTGGTTGGCCCTACCTTCAAAATCTATTCTGTATCTACCACTTCTCCACCACTGCCTTAGTCTAAGCCACCATCATCTCCTTCCTTAGCTACTGCAACAGCCTCCTAACTGGTTTCCCTACTTCCAATCTTGCTTACTTAAAACCCATTATTCTCAGCAGTCAGGGTGATCCTTTAAAAATAAATCAAATCTGATCCAACAAATATGCTCCCAAGAGAAATGAGTGCGTATGTCCCATAAAAAGACAAGTATTTTTATAGCAGCTTTATCCATAATAGTCAAAAACTTCAAATGTCTATCAGCCAAAGAATGGTTAAACCTGGATAAACAAACTGTGGTATATTCATATAGGAAATACTATGTAACAAACTTAAAAGACAGAACTATTATATACAACTGCATAAAAAGATCTCACAAAATATTGAACAAAAGAAACCAGGGCTTCCCTGGTGGCGCAGTGGTTGAGAGTCTGCCTGCCGATGCAGGGGACGCGGGTTCATGCCCCAGTCCGGGAGGATCCCTCGTGCCGCAGAGCAGCTGGGCCTGTGAGCCATGGCCGCTGAGCCTGCGCATCCGGAGCCTGTGCTCTGCAGCGGGAGAGGCCACAACAGTGAGAGGCCCGTGTACCGCAAAAAAAAAAAAAAAAAAAAAAAAAACCAGACCAAGAGTACACACTTTATGATTTCATTTATGTAAAGTTCAAGAAAAAGCAAATTAATCTACTGTGAGAGAAAATAGTGGTTACATGGTGGGAATGTGCTACATTTAAACCTAAATGGTGGCTAAAAGGGTGCATACAGATGTAAAAATACACTTAAGATCTGTGTGTCTTTCTGAATGTATTTTATACTGCAAATTTTTAAAAAAAGCTTTAATGAGATTTTTCATTCTCCTTTCCTCAGATCCTCCAATGCTTCCCATTATACTAAAAATTAAATCCAAACTCCTAACCAAGATCTAAAAAGCTGTGCATGTTCTGGGCCCTACCTGCTCCCTCCAACCCTCTTTCCTAGGTCTCTCCCAGGCTTCAACTCTGCTTTACCTTCACTGGTCTCCCTGCTGTGCCTCCAACATGCCCACATCTGAGGACCTGGGCACTGGGAGTCCTGCTGCCACTGCTGGGAACTAGTCTAGACTTGCTCTTACCTCCCCCCACCAGACAGCTCTCCTCCACAAATGGCTTAAATTGGGTGTGGGAAATAAGATTATGGAGCAGAAGGTGATCAATAAGTGTACAGTAATCATGGTTAACATTGTTAGAGCATTTACCTGACTTGGGCACTTTTCTGACCAGTTACATTGATTAACTCACCCCACCTCCTCATTAACCTATGAGATGATCACCATTTACAGATGAAATTGAGGCACTGATTAGTTAAGTAGTAACTTGATATAATCACACAACTCAAAAGTGGCAAAACTAGGATTTGAACCAAGGCAATATAGATGCAGAGCTCTTATTCATTTTAAATGCATCCATTTTAAGTGTATAGTTCCATGTGTTTTAACAAATGTATACACCCATGTAAGCAACCTTTTGATCAAGATAAAGAACATTGCCCCTAAAAGTTCCCTTGTGCCCTTCTGCGGTCAATCTCCCCATCCTTGGCAACCACTAATCTCCTTTCTGTCACCGTAGATTAGATTTACCTATTCTAGAGTTTTATATAAGTAGATTCATACAGTATATAGGTCTCTGGCTTCATAGCTCTGGGTTTCAGAGCTTTCCAGGGTTTTTAACCACTGCCTTACACTACTTCGTGGTGTAGCTTCTTTCACCACTTACCTATCAAACTGGCTACTCCTCAGGACTTCCCTGGCAGTCCAGTGGTTAAGACTCTGTGCTTCCACTGCAGGGAGCACGGGTTCGATCCCTGGTCAGGAAACTAAAGATCCCACATGCTGTGTGGCATGCCAAAAAAAGTTTTTTTAAATGGCTACTCCTCAACATCAGCCACCCATCTATATCCTATCACTGCTTTTACGCACGCCACTCCAAACACACGAGATTGTCAGAATGGGGAGTGTAAAGAGGGACAAAACAAGGTCAGTGACAGCCCCTCTAAGATACCATAAAGTTCCAGTGAGAGAGGCTAACAAGTGAAGCACCAAAATTCCTATCCTTGAAGAGCTTATAATCCAGTTAAAGAGAGGGGATAGCTTATATATAAAGCCAATAAGTCGCAAAGCAAAAAATTCATTCATTCAACAAGGACTTATTCAGTAAATATAAAATAGTATAATGTGACTAAGCAATTGGCTCTGGAGTTCAGACAGATCTTACTTCATCTACCACTTCTTAGCATGTGACCTTGGTCAAGTAAATTAGTATCAGTTTCCTGATCTTAAAATTGGCATAACAGCAAAATCTACCTAAGGGGTTGTTTTGAGGATTAATTGAGATAATGCATACAAAACACTTAGTACAGTACCTGGCACATAGTAAAAGTTCAATAAATATTAGCCATTATTTTTACAATTATTGTATATGTTAGGCACCTTTCAACACTCTCGGGAGATACAGATTAACAGAATGAGATTCATTAAAGTTTCTTAAGGGATTCAGTTTAGTGCAGGGATACTTAGACCAGGATCCATGAAACTTCCGGAATTTTTGCTTCAGGATATTGGATATATATGCATGTATGTATTTTTTCTTGGGTAGGGTCCACAGCTTTTGTCATATTCTCAAAGGACTGTCCCATGACCTACAAAACACTGAGAACCCATCGTCTGGAGCATGCATTCTCAATGGGGGTGGTATCGCCCCCCCCCCCACACACACAAGAAGTCAAAAATTGGTTCAGGGATGGGAATCTTAGATATTACAATGTTTATGTCCTTCCAAAGGGCCATAGTACATATGCAGAGACACAGAATATTGGTGATATTAAAATTTCATGCATAGGGGGAGGGCAATTAGGAAAAAATGTCAGATGATGGGCAAACACTAAAAAACAAACAGATGTGCAAACTGAAGTACCTAAGTGTACAAGCAATACTAGCTCTGTTCAGAGAACTGCTGAGTACTAGAGTCTGAAAGAACCAGAGGGTGGAGAGATAAAGGAGAGTTTAGGGGAGTCAAACTCAGTGAGTAGTGGAGGCACTCAAGAATCACTGAACGAAGAAAAGCTCAGAGATTCTGAGAATGAATGCCTGAGAAAAAAAGTGGCTCCAAAGAGAGAAGTAGGGAATTCAGCAAAGGCACTAATTTATTCTATGGTGTGAATTCATCAACACGATATCAGATAACAGCAGAAAATACCGCATAGGGGGAGTTCCCTGGTGGCCTAGTGGTTAGGATTCTGGGCTTCCACTGCCGTGGCCCAGGTTCAATCCCTGGTCAGGGAAGTGAGATCTCAGAAGAGTCCATTCATTCGATAGGTAACCTGAAGACAGAAAGGACACAGAGACTGAAAAAACCCTCCCACCACCTGGGGCTGCTTCAGTGCTGTGCCGGGTTCCAAGTGCTCCTGGGACCTCAGCTTATGACCACATACAGCAGAACTCTGAAATTACGAGGTCAGTTTGTCCCATTATGACTCAGAAGACCGGCATCCAGTCATGATGTGAAATATCACATCTAATCTTCCAAGTTTTTTTTTGGCTGCACCATGCCGCATGCGGGATCTTAGTTCCCCAACCAGGTATCGAACCCATGCCCCCTACAGTGGAAGCGGAGAGTCTTAACCACTGGACCACCAGAGAAGTCCTTCCCCCAAGCTTTTGACATATGGAATCAGACATCCACTAGACGACCCAACCTGCATATCTCACAACACCCCTCAAAGTTGGCATATCCAAAACTGAACCTATCGTTTTTATCCTGCCCCCCTAAATTCTTCCTGCTGCATACTCTCATCCTTGATGCCACCCTCCCCTTCATTCACTGTATCCTATCTAATACCAAGTCCTAATTTGCCTTTTAAATATCTCCCCACTGCATCTCTCCCTTTTCTTCCCTACTTGTCACAGCCCTCATTTAGCCCTCATCTCTCACCTGAATTGTTGCCAGATGCATAACTTGTTACCTTGCCCCCAGTCTTCATCTCCCCCATATCTACTTTCTACAGTGCAACCATGGTTCTAAAACACCAATTTGTCATCCCCTTGCTTAAATCCCTACTGTGGCTTCCCATCATGGATAGCAACTTCCCAACCAGTGTGCCTTGACAATGATGCTCAGTTATTAATTCCCTCAGCACTTTGGACTGCTAGGCAGGGCCTGGGATCGCTAGAATTCTTAAGCCAATAGCCTCGAGCCTAAAGAACCCTCCTCTCTTTACCTCAATGTGTTGCTTGAAATGGTTCTGTGCCCTGATGTGAAAAAGGGCTGAGAAGCACTGATCTTTGGGAGCTCCCTAACTGGCTCTGACCTCATCCCACCTCCAGCACACAACAGTGTTATTAGCTTTAGCGAATTATATACCATGTTACTCGTCAATCTCTGCTTCTGCTCAGAAACATCCCATCCACCTGGAATGAGCTTCCCTTCATCTTTGTCTGAGAAGCTTCTAACCTTCCTTTAAGATTATATTCAAGTATCACTTTTTTTCCAGGAAGTTTTCATGCCAGGACTTCCATGCCAGGTTAGATACCCTTCCTTACGCTCCCCAAAATATTTTGTTTCCTATGTGTCAGTCTACCCCCTCGGTAATGATCAGACAGCAGAACCACCTTGCTCATCTTTGCATCTTCAGCGGCCACCAGCATGGAGCCCTTGTATGTATGTTACATGAATGAGAACGATGCAAGAGAACGAGAGAGCTAGGCTCACCTTTTCTTTCCTAGAGTTTAGTTCGTGGTTACGTAAGAGCTTCAGAGAAGGGGGTGATATAACAGGATTAAATGTGGCAAAGAACAGAATAGGCCATTGGATTCGGTCTAGTTACTGCTCTAGTTACTGAAAGTCTGAGCACAGATTTAAATATGATGGAAATCAGGTCTGGAAGGACTGAGAATGAGGAAAAAATAGGAATAAGATACAAATCCCTTACCCAAGATACCTGGTGGTATGAAGAATGAAAGAAAATGACGGCTTACTGAGTTCCTACTGTCCCATTTCAATTGTTTTGCAATCATTTAAGACATTTATATGGTTCCAAAGAAAACCACATTAACATAGTACACTCGGAGAAATCCAGTTTCCTCCATATCCCTTCCCTTCCCCCAGTGGTAACAACTTCCATTAGTTTTTGGTTTATCCTTCCATTTTTAAAATATAGAAAAATGTATATATTACGTGTCACCCCTTAGATAAGGAAACACACTATACATTGTGTTCTGCGTGTTAGTTTCCTCACTTAACATATCCTGGAGCTCTCTCCAAACAGTATGTAGAGTCTCCCTCATTCCTTTTTTACTGCTGCTCAGTACTCTACTGTATAGATTTACCAGTTTATTCCACCATTCCCTTACTGATGGATACGTGAGTTGTTTCCAATCTACTGGTATTACAAATAGTGCTGCAATGAATAGCTTTGTGTATGTTACTTTATATTTTTGCCATCATATCTCCAGGAACTTTACTTCTGTTCTCACTTAATACTCACAATAACCGATGCCATGGATACTGGGTCTCCATCTTATGTATAAGCTTGATGTAAGGAAACAGCTGCTGTAGTACACAGCAGTCCAGCAACTGCAACAGCACATTACAGAGTAAGCCCTTAAAACATGGAATAAACACCCTCACTCCTACCTTACCATTCTTCTCCCAATATACGTCTCTTCTTAGAGAAAAAGAAGTTATTTTGCCAAGTTAAACACCACAAAGAATAAACAAGGAGTTTAGTTTTATTTTCTCTGTGCATTTGCAAAACACTTAGGACTGACACAGAAAAAAATAAAACCTCCTGTGAAAAAAATTACACTTACAAAAGGAGGCCTGAGAGGGATTAGCGCCTTAGTCCCTGGGAGCTACAGCAACTCTGATTGGTCCAAGGAAGTGAACAGATATTGGGAGGCTATAACAAGAGGAAAGGCAACGAGAAATCACTGAGGGAGAGGGCCTCGAAGTGGGCCTCGAGGGGGAACTGGAGGCCGGGGAGTGGGTCTGGGTGGAGGGAGGGGCCCCCGCTGGTAGCCATAGGGTGGAGGTCGTGGAGGGCCAGTGTATCCATGAGGGGGCATCAGTGGAGGAGGTCCACGCATGCCATGAGGAGGCATAGGACCTGGGTGACCTGCAGGAAGAAAAGGAAAACTTAGTAAAAACAAGAAACAGGAGACAGTTCACACTGGGACAATGCAGAGAGAGGACAGACAGGGAGACAGTGAAAAGAAATCTAAGAAAGAAAAGTAAGGAAGTGCAGTGGATAAGAGGTGTGACAAAAGAAGCTGCAAGAATGCCACGTGAGGATGAGGGAGGTGGCTACAGCCTACTCACCCATGGGAGAGCCGAACGGAGGCCCTCGGGGGGGCATGCCCATTGGAGGAGGTCCAGGATGAGGCATTCCAGGTGGTGGGCGGGGTGGTGGCTGCCCCCCAGAGCCAGGGGGCCCAGCATGGGGGTGTCCTAAGCCATGAGGGCCATGGTGGGCCAGCTGCATCTGAGACATCCCTATGAGAACAAAACAGACACAAAGAGAAAGGAGACAAAAGGAAGTTAGACAAGAGGGCAAAGAAAACGAGACAGGAAGAGAAGAAAATGGAGAAGCAAGTGACATCAGGAAGAAGAGCATGGAAAATAAGGCTGGTAAAAAGTGCCCTCATCCTTGACTCCATTCCAAGAGAACAAACCAACCAACTACCCAATCAACTCCCTGCCCCCTGCAGCTCACTTGCTCCTTCCATGATTTAGGCACTGTAATAGTGCTGCAACAGTACATAACAAATGGCGTGATTATTCTACGGAGTAGGATTTGGGAAGGTAACAGAGATGCTGTCTGAGCGAAGATCTAATTCTAAAGGATGAAAAGGAATTTTTCAGGTGGACAGCAGAATGGGAACAGAATATTCCAGGCAGAAAAGATTAGCATGTGCAAAGCACGTGTATGATCAACAGCATAGTATGTGAAAGGAAATCCAGTAACTCAGTCATCAGGAGCAGCGTGCAGTCATAGGAGTAAGGGGAAGGAGCCAGATGGTGAAAAGCCTAGAATGCTACGGCAGTGAGTTTGGGTTTCACTCTGTAGATAAAAGGGAGCAACACAAGAATTTTGAGCAAGGGTGTGTGAACATCTGTATTTTAGAAAAATTACTCTGTGGAAGTCGATGAAAGGTAGACATAATTAGAGTCAAAGTGTCAGGATATTACTACAATAAATTAGGTGTGAAATAATGAGGATATGACAGCCTGAACTAGGGCACTGGCCTAGTGGAGGTCGATGCCAGATATAAATAAGACTTGGTATTAAGAGTGGGGTGACAGGAAATAGTCAAACATAACTCCTAGATTTCTGAATCAAGCACCTGAAAACAAAGAAAACTAGAGAAAGAATAGGTTTGAAGGGGAATGGCAGAAGAATGGAGCTGTCCATTAAACACCAAGATTAAGGGTATGGAATGTTAATAACCATGGAACAGAGATACAGATCTAGGAGGCGTCAGTGTACAAATAATGGAACTATGCAGAAAAGAGAGCCAAACACAAAAACCTAGGTACAAGCAGAGAAAAAGGAGCCCATTAAGGTGGATGAGATTAAGGATTCAGAGAGACAGATGGAGAATCCAGAAAAATCAAAAGAGACAAGATTTTCAAACAGGAGGACATGGCCAGTTTCAAGTATAGCAAAGGTCAAACCAGATAAGGAGCAGAAGTGTCCCCTAGACCTGGCAATTAGGTCACTGCTTTTGGGTGGAATTCAGAGGAGAGAATGGAAGTAAAAGTTAAGTAAACAAAAAATAGCAAGTATAGTTATACTCTTTGGTAAAACTGAAATAAGAAATGAAGACAGGGTGGTAGTTGTTAAAGTAAACAGAGTAAAGTATCTTGTATTTACTTTTACAAAAGAATGTCTGAAAGAAAGGAGAACTCTGGGACTATTTATTATTGCTGAAGGACAAAGAGCAGCAGCATAAGTGGTGATAGAGCTCCTCTACCAACATTCCTCTCCTTCCCAGCAAAGAACACCCACCTGGATGGGGCATCCCACCCGGTGGGAATGGGTGAGGATGTGAGTGTCCATGTCCAGGATGACCAGCCCCTGGGGTTCCTGCTGATGGGGGGCCATGTCCTCCAGCTCCAGGAGGCATAGGTGGTGGGGGCATGGCTGGGGGTATCCCAGGTGGAAGGGCTCCAGGAGGCGGTACTGGTGGTGGGAAGGAGCCAGGAGGAGGCATGCCTATAGAGAAAATGTAAAAAGAGTTAATGACAGTGAGAAGAGAGTGCTTTTAGAGAGCCTGTTCCAATCTGGCCTCTCCAGGAAGGATGAGCTCTTTCCTCCTCCTCCCAGCTCTCTAAAGTCAGAAGCAATGCTAGATGACTCAAACAACACCTTCTGGAGAAACTCAACAACTTGCTTCCCTCCACAATCATCCCTCCACAATCACCCCTCAGTCCCTTTCTTATCACTTACTGACTCAATGTTCTTCCCTTTCCAGGTTCTTTTTCCTTCTCCTTACCTGCCAGCCCCCCAACCCAAGACAAACATGTTTTTTTTTGTTTGTTTGTTTTTGTTTTTTGTGGTACACAGGCCTCTCACTGTTGTGGCCTCTCCCGTTGCAGAGCACAGGCCACAGACTCCGGACACACAGGCTCAGCGGCCATGGCTCACGGGTCTAGCCGCTCCGCGGCATGTGGGATCTCCCTGGACCAGGGCACCAACCCGTGTCCCCTGCATCGGCAGGCGGACTCTCAACCACTGCACCACCAGGGAAGCCCCCAAACATATTTTTTATCAAAAGCTTTACCTGGTGGAGGAAGCCCAGACCCCAGTGATGATACCACAGGATTCGGAGCAGAGGGTGGAGGGGGTGCATCTGCAAACAGCTGATGAGGGCGGTCAGCCTGGGAGAGTGGGTTCTGTGCTGCCAGAAGTCGTTCAGCGGCTGAGCCATGGCGTTCACCTTTGGAGTCCTTCTTGAAAGCATAGGACACGGTGATTGGGCGGTTACAGAGGTACTGCCCATTCATGGCCTCAATCGCTGCATCCGAAGCATCAAATGAAGCAAAATTAATAAAGGCATAACCTTTGGAGTTGCCTGTGTCAGGGTCCCGCATAATCTTGGGGGTTTGTAAGATGACCCCAAAGGCGCTAAAAGTATCATAAAGCAACTTCTCATCGATCTCTGGGTCCAGGTTCCCAATGAAAATGTTGGCCCCCACATCCAGGTTTTTGTTGTGAGCTGATGCCTTGTTCACCCGTATTGGTTTCCCATAGAGTTTGATCATGTTCATGATCTTAATGGCATAGTCAGCATCTTCCTCACTCAAGAATTCCACAAAGCCATAGCCTGGGGGAGTGGAAAGAAGAGGTTAACAAGTGATTCCAAATGAGGTATAACTCATTTGCCTTCTGAAGCACAAAGAACAAGAAATAATAATCTCACTTCAACTGAGAATGGTTCCAGAAACAAACTGTGAGTTAGGCTTAAGAGAAAAAAATCCTTAGTTTGCTCATTCCAAGACAGCTATGAATACTGCTGGGGGCCTCCTGGAGCAGCCTGTCCCCTCAAAACATAACTGCAATTCTTGCCATGTACTCACCTTGGTGCTGACCAGTGACTCTATCCTTTGGCATGTGGGTGTTGACCACTGGCCCTGCCTGGAGAAATAGCTCCCACAACAGTGGTTCGCTAACCTTCTCATCGAGGCCCCCCACATACACAGTGGCATCTGGAGGACAGGATTAGGAGGTTAGGGCAGAGATGAGAGGAGATAGGGAGGTAACGGGAACATGAAGATGGAACCCAGGCGGGGGATTTGGGGGTTGAGACAGGGTATAGGAGCAAAGAGGGAAAGAGAGAGAGAAAAAAAAAAGACGTTAGCTTAAGCCCTTACACCTCCTCCTTTCCAGAAAACAGATAAACTTCTTAAGTCTAACTTAGAGTTCTAGAGCAAATTCACTTCGTAACTTTTCTTTTTCTTTTTCTTTTTTTTTTTTTGAGTGGGAAGGCAGCAGGGGATTGGACATAGCATCACACCTACAGGCCTCAGCCTGCACCCGTCCATCCCGTCCCCAGCAGGCATCGGGGTAGGTCTGGCACCCTTCGGAACGGCCCAATCTCCCGCCCCGGAGGAAACACTGCTAGCCCTAATCGGGGCCCCCCAAACTCCCTGAGTTCATTCCGGGCTTGTCCCCTCCAGTCACCCTGGTTCCGCTCGGAGATCGGCCCGGCCGCCATGGCGAAACAACTCCCGCCGTCTCCAGACAACGATCCCGCCCCCTGACCTCAGTCACAACTTCCACTTCCGGGGCGAAAGCTGACGTGAGGCGGTGGGCGGGCCCTAGGCAGGGGAGGAGCCGGAAGCGGCCGCGGCCATCTTAGGAGCCGCTGATACTTGAAGCGGCGGAGGTGACGGCGTTTGAAGTGCGTCTGGGAGTTGTCAGGGCGGGGCAGACGAACGGAAACGCCCAGACCCTCCTAAGGCAGTGCTAGACGTTAAAGGGTCACGCTGCTCCCGAAAATGTCAATTCAAAAGCTGAGAGAACAAAACTTCACTTTTCATGTATTTTGTAGCCTTCTTTCGTTTCCCAGAGAAGGGTGTGCTGAGGAACCCCCCAACGCAAGGCGTGGAGGCAGCTGTCCGCCCCGACCCGCAGCCTTTGGACAGATACGGCCTCACAGCCCCGGCCTGGGCTTGAGGTATTTCGTTTTTCCTCAGCCAGGGGATTGCGGAAGGTCTGAGCTCGCCTAGGCGTTATTGCATAGAGAGTGAGGGGAACATGAGGCTCAGAGGTGGAGTGATAGCAAAGCTGAAGGGTGGTTGACACAGAAGCCCAGAGTCCTCTGTCTCAACGGCCAGAGCGCACCCTGACGCCCAGCAACGTCTGGGTGTCTTTTGACCCATCTGCACGAAAGAGAGAACCCAAATTGCCTGTGAATTCTTCAGAGCCTCCCCTGACCCATCCCCTTATTTCCTTAGCAATAATATGGTCGGTACCTTCCTCTCTTGGGTCACACCCCCTTCGCCCCCCCCCCCCCCCACTCTCTTACCTAGATTCCTTTATTCAGACACAAGAAACAATGCCAGCAGCGTGTATAAATATTGTGCTTTAATGAACTCCTTAAATAGAAATGTCACGACAAAAATATACAATTGGAAGAGACAGGGTGTCTCCCATACCCATGGAAAACTGTAAAGGAAGAAGTAGAAATCGGAATTACAGGAACAGCAAGAGGAGGTGAGAAGGAGGTCTGTAGGCCATCTTGTTGACACTGATAAATGGTATCTCTGATCTCACAATTTACCAGCTCAGTATCCAAAATTTCCATCCAAAAGGGATGGCATTGCCCTGAAAAAAGGATGCGATCATATTCTGGATTGTTTTTGTTTGTGTTCGTTTCTTAATTCTTCAAATCACAAGAAACTATTTAAACCAAACAGGGCAGAGTAAGAGTTGGATAAGGTCAGCACCACCCATCTGCAATGGAAACTCAAGTCAGTGAGCTTGTTTAAGGGCTGGCATATGAAAGCTGAGGCAGCAAGACCAGGTAAGAAAATTGAAGGATTAGACAAAACTCTCCCTCACCCCAGACCACCCTCTGCCCTGCCCATGAGAAAGCCAGCAATTTCAACGGGACTGGGACATAATGGTATTTGGATTTCTTTTCTTGGAGTGATCCTCAGGAGATATTCTTGGTGTCCATTTCCTTAATAACTCCTGAAGATGGGCTAGCTCAGCCTGAAGGCCAGAGATCGTGGGAGCTGAGAGTCCCATCTGGGGAGGGGGTGAAGAGAGGCAGAGAGGAATATTATTTTAGCTGCAGCTCTCTGCTCCTGGCATCCTTAATTCTCTTTCCCCCTCCAACTATGCCCTAGTTTCCACTTGATATTAGTCGCAAGCAGTTTCCCCACACTCCCAGACCTATCCACTTTGATACCAACAAGAATGGTACCTCATTTCCCAGACCCCCAGCCCTTTCCCTTTCCAGCTCCTGGAAATATCTGGTTTCTCCTAGAACTTCTGGTTCAGCAGTCAGGCCCCTTCTCCCACTCCCAGTCCCTGTTTTTCCTTCTCACCTGGACCTCAGGCCTTCCCCTCAGGTAGCAGCGTCTCCAGAGCCTGATTTGGGGTCCCAGATATCCAGGCAGCAGCAGCCCTGGGGGTAAAGGGCAAGCTCCCCAATGTGAGGGGAGCCCCCACTCCTGATCAGCCAGGCTTTCAGAGGAGATAGCAGGTCGAGGGAGCCAACGAGAAGAGACTGCCAGCAGGGAGGGACTGTCCCGCCAAGGACAGAGCTGATTCAGGGGGGTCAGGGCCCCTCTAGAGAAGAGCCACACGGAACTGGGGGGCCCAGGAACCATGAAGCTTGGCTAAGGAGGAAAGGGAAATCAACTGACAACCTAGAAAACTGATGACCCCAGTTTCCCCAAACTGGGTCAGGAAGGAATGTCCAGCTGCCACTCACTCAACACTGCACGTGTGATCAAAGTACCAGCCTCCGCCCTAGAACTCTTTATCTGCTCTCCTTATTAGCCTTCAGACTAGGCCTCAGGACTGATTCAAGTTGATTTTAGGGAAACATAAAAATGTTTGCGTGAGACAGGAAGACTAATAAGGATGAGGAGGACAAAAAAGATGCTTTATGTTAACTTTAGGATTTCTGTCTTCCTGGGGACAGTCAGGTACTATAAATGCCAGCTAACAGAAGAGGAGTGAGGACCTCAGACACTGTCTTTTCACTTCTCACCTAGTGGGATGAGCCTGTGAGAGAGTCAGAAGAATTTAGGAACTTTAGACACCTCACCTGCTGTCTAGGGAGCCATGAATCTGGGCAGTGTTCTGGGTCATAGCCAAGATTATGGAACTGTAGTATCTGTTCCTTGCTGTAGCGTAAGTCCCAGTCCCAGACAGATAGCTGTGGGTTAACAGAGTTCCCAGCTGGGGGCTGGGAGTACCCTGCAGTATAGACTTGTGTATAGGTGTTGAACTGGATAGAGGAAACAAGAAAAGGATGGTTAAACAAACAAAAATATATAATCCTTCTCCCAAGTCTAGAGAGAAATCATGAAATTCTCATCTCTTAAGAATCAGATATAGGGTGAAAGTCCCATTCTGAAAGTGAGCATCAACCTCCCCCTTTCCCATCCACAGACCTCACTTTTCATAATCAAGACTAAACTTCAGAGAGTAGTGGGGTTTTCTGGGGGTTTTTTGGGGGGGCGCACTGCACAGCTTGTGGGATCTCAGTTCCCCAGCCAGGGATTGAACCTGGGCCACGGGAGTGAAAGCCCAAAATCCTAACCAGTAGCCCACCAGGGAACTCCCAGAGAGTTCTTCTTAATGGGGGGAAAAAAAGACAAGTCAAAAATGGAACTCACTGACCTGTCCACTCTGCTTTCCACGCTCCCAGGGAGTGTCTCTCAAGAATGTAAGGGTGTCAGGAACCCTGACGCTGTCATGAAGAGCAAGAAGGAAGAACTCAGAGAATTCAAACTCAGCTGGAGACTGCTGGAGGAGCTGCCAGACGCAATCAAGGAAGAGGAGAAACACTGGGGCCTGAGAAGAGGGAAATTAAGAGGTTGGAAGGGGTTATGGGGACCTAAATGGGGAGGATGACAAAATAACAGGGGATGAGGGGCACAGGAACAGAGGACACTAAGGAGGTCAGGGAGTGGAAATCTCAGTTGAGGTAGGGGGTTGTGGTCCCTCACTCATCTGGGTCTCCCTTCAAGCTTAGCCCAACCTCAGAACCCTTTGGACCTAATTCACCTCCGATGGATTTTACTATTTAATTTTCTCATCCCCGTACTTCTTAATAATACTCTCCCAGTACCCTCCCCAAACATTCTCACCTCTTCACTGGCCCCAGTTCCCCCAAGTCGGGTCAGGAAAGGATGTCCAGCTGCCACCCACTCTCGCTGCACTAGTGATTGGAAGCCAAGCAGTGTCCGGGCTTCAGGGGCTGAAAGCAGCTGGACGAGTGAAGAGAGGAGGCCATTGAAATCACGATCACCGCGCTCTGGGTGATAAAGAGGGATAAGGGACAAAGAAGGAAGGCCAAGAAACTAGGGCAGAAGAGAGTGAGAAAAAGAAATATGGCAAGAGGAAGTGAGCAGCACAGAGGGGGAAAGTTTGGGGTAAGTAGGATTGAGAGGGCACATAAAAGTGAAGAGAAAACAAAGACTTTGAGTGATTCACTTCATACACTCCACCGAGATAGAAATACCCAGCTTCACATGTAGGAAGCAGAATCATAAATGTCCAACCAGCTTCCACATTTTCCTTCCCACCCCAACCCCAATCCCCATCCTCTGATGGAAGGACAGGAACAGAGGGCTGAGAACCCCTCTGTTAGGGACCACAAGCTTAGTGGGGAGGCAGAAGTAGCACTGAAGGATGAGTTAGAGCTGATGGGTAGTTCCTAGTAAAACGAGAGGATGCTAGCACTGGGAGGGGACAAGGAAGCTTTATAGGTCTCCCTCCCTGAGCAGAATCCAGTCAGGTGAGTAAAGAGAAAAGGCAAGGAATGGAGTGGGTTGGCCCAAGAAACTCACCTTGAAGTACTACAGAGCGAACCCTGGATGTCACTAAGACTGAGATGTCACTAGCCTTTCGAAGACAAGACCTGGAGGAGTGGGTGAGGAAGAGAAGGGGAGAATAACAAGCCTGGAGGAAGGGAATGATGGGTCAGGGGATACAACAGAGACAGACTCCCAATTCCTTCCCCCTCTCCTTCTAAGGAGAAACAAATAACAGTCTTCTTGGGGAACCAAGGAGAAGAGTTAATGGAAGACCATTTAGGAGTCAGAGGGAGTACCTGACGTAGTCCAACCATCGTGTTCCATCCAGAGCTGAGAGCCATTTATCCTCAGCCACAGATGAATCTGAGAGAGAGTAGAGGAGTCAGAAGGGCAAAGAGATCAGGAGAACTGGGAGTTCAGGATCCAGAATTAAGAAGGGTCAATAATAAGTTGGGTAGTGGTTGGGTCTGGGGTTAGGAATGAGAAGTAACTATAAATGGCTATGAGGTTTCTACAATTAAGTTGTGGCGATGGTTGTACAACATTGTATATACAATGAAATGCATTGAATTGTACACTTAAGATGGGTGAAGGGTGAATTTTATGGTACATAAATTATATCTCAATGAAGCTGTTTAAAAAAAAAGAATATCTCGGGGTCAAAAAGACAGGAAATCAGTGAGTCTGTGGGAGATGGGAGTTGAGTAGAAAACTAAGGATCAGTGGGTTGAAGGGGTACTCATCCACAGCAGGCAAAAGGGTAAACCAGGTTAGGGTCAGCAGACCTAGAGATGGG